TCACAAAGATGAAGTGCTGAAAAAAAGTGCATTGAGTTCAAATCCATCCATCCTTGCAAAGCAGATAGAGTGAAAAGCAGTAGTGTGCCCAACAAGAGCAATGGTCTCATTTTTGGGAATCTGTCCTGTCCCCAGGAGAGTTCCTGGAAAAATGTAAAAGAGAGCTTAAGGCCTATTTATCCATTAGCTTGTCCACAAAGCTTTTCTCCATGTAGGCATAGCTTAAACCAGCAAAGACCCTTGTTGAAACTGCTGCTTTTTTCTTTTCTTTTTTAAAGAAACCAACTCTGCTTTTCTTTCATTCTGTAGAATACACAGCTGACATTATTACCCACATGCTTAGCAGTGCCACTGCTGTAATGGATGACGTTAGTACTTAAATGCACTAGGAAGACAGGAGTGGGCTGAAGCCATTTTTAGAACAACATGCTATTTCTTTTTCTGGTGCTGACTCATTCACTGTACCTTGTGGTATGTTTACCTCAACTGCTTGCTGCTTCACAGGCTGTTGAATGGGTGAGGAAGGAATATTAATCAGTGACACATAGCACTGTGCTCCAGAACCACAGTGATGGCGAGTGCTATGGTCTTGCCTATCTTTTGGCTTTATTGTAGGAATTACTTTTCTTTGACTAGCATTTAAAGTTATTTTAGTCCTGTAAAATGTAAGCGACACTTTTTTATTCATCATTTTAACACAACTATCTAGTTCATATCCATTTTTTTCTGTTAAAAATCTTTGCTCCTCGCTAGTGCTCATATCAGAGTGGAATTAATCAAAGTCATTGCACTGTACATGTGTAGAACCTAATTAGCCAAAACAGCTGATGAAGACAGAAAAGATCTCACAGCTCATTTATCTTTTTCTTAAAATATTTTATATTAAAATTAAAATGACACGGAAAACAGTAACAGAAACTATAGCTAAAACTATACAAGAGTGCGCTTTACTGCACATATGATCTACTTGGGCTATTCTGCCAGCTGAGTGAGATGACAGAAGTGTTTGGTGCCCAGAAAAGCATTTGTAGCTCAATTTGTCCGCATTCAAAATAGAAATTAAAGGCCCGTGCATAATAACTGTTGCTAATCATTCACAAGATATAATCTGATAAATGCTGTTAGTGTACAGTTACAAATGGTTGCCCTCTGTTCCTGAGGTGATATTTGACCATCTGATTGACATTACAGACCCTCACCAAAGGGGCTTCCCACTCTTCCCCTGTCCCTTCTTTCTGCATGTTCCCACCACCTCCACTATAGCAGGAGTGATGCAAATCTGATCTGAATTTGAGAAAAATAATCATTATTTTATACAGCTTTATTTCAGCTAGTTTAGTTCTCCTAAACCATCTGCTTCTGGATTAGATGACCATCCATGTTGGAAGAAGGCATGTTGACTGAATCACCTCTGACTTAGATCAGCACGCTCCCAGTCCGAGGAGATCCTCCAGCGCCAAGGACTGTGTGTGGAGGAGAAGGGAATGTGAAACCCTAAAACAGGAGCCAGAGATTAAGCTTGGAGATGTACCAGGTTAAAGAAATACTTGCTTTCAACTCTAGGACATGACTGAAGCATATAATGTGCAGACACCTTCAAAACCTCTCTTCTCATCTCCTGTTTCCAAGAATTTGTGAATTTGCTAGCAGCTTCCTTCTTAGAAAGAAAATTCCTTTAATCATTCTTCAGGGTTTCAATTTGAAGGAAAAAGCAGTTCAGTAATTATAGTGGAAGACAAAATGGAAGCCCAGAAACAAATGACAAAAAACAAAGTCTCAAGCACAGGCCTAAGACACTGCACGGTCTTCCTGTCTGGGACTCTGCATGTCAAAACTCTCAAGTGGAAAACAGAATTAGTAATATTTTGTACAGGTATTAGAAAAAAAAATTAAGAAAACCAGTAGATAGGAAAATGAGTTGGCTACTGTGAATTCTCTCATAAATAGGTAGCAGAACAAAATTCATATATATATATTATAAATTGATAATATTAATATATAACATATAAAATTAATTTTTATTATTCTATGTTTATGTATTCATATTGAATCATCATTGAAGAACCATAATTTCACAGACTTACTTTAAAAAGAATTAAAAATATATAGCTGCCATCAATCAGGAGAAATGCCTTTTAATATCATGTGCTGTAATATTTTAAACACAGAGACCCTGTGAAGGGCCTTGGGGTTTTATGCTAATCTATTCACTTGTGCACCTCAGGGAAATCTGCTGCTGCATAATCAGCTTCATAATCCCTTGAATTCTCATTGCCATGTACTCTGAAGTGAGGCAGTAAACTTTTTTGGCTAGGGATCCTGACATGTTTGTCTACCTTTTTTAGTTTCTGAACCTAATGATTATTTTTATCCAATCATTATTCAGTGATGCTTCTTGCACTGCCGTAAGAAAAGTTAAATATGCCTTCTCAGATTTGCAGATAGAGCAACTGAAGTGTGCAATGATTAACAAATTACATTTCCTGGGTCAGAGAGAAAGTTCATGGAAGAGCTAATAATGGGACATATCTCTGGTCTTAATGATTACAGTGTGACAGCACAGCATTCCTCAAAGTAGAAATTTCAAAATCAGGCATTCAGTTATGACACTGACAGAATGGGGTCCCTTCATTTTGTTTGCTGACCTTGGGCTAGTGAATAAGCCAGCTTCTCACTCTGAAAGATGTCTATGCACTGAATGGCATATTCTGATAAGACAGGACATATATTTTATTTTAATGTTTTGTAATAAGAATACTCCTTTTATAGAATTCCTTGTATCATTGCTTCGGACAAAAGTATAGATTCCTTACAGTAGTAACTGAGCCCTTGAGTCTTTATAGATTTCCATTATAAGATCCCTATGAATAGGGAATGGTTACTATGTCATTTTTAAAAGGGCTTAGAAACAATGATCCCAAAGCCTTTGTGAAGCAAAAAATTAAATTCACATCTCCTAGATTTTAAGCTGGATGAACCTGCCAGTGGATGAACCTTCCTGATTACTGAATGAAAATTCCTTTCTGTAATCATCCCAATCCATGTAAAGCAAAAAAAACCAACTCTGCAAAGAGTGTGCTTTTTTGCTCCCTACACTTGTTGCTGGGCTTTGATCTAAAGCTTAGTGATAACCAAGTTAGTTTATGAACTTAGTGTTGCACATTCACTTGAGGATGCTAATATAAGTTGGGAATAAGGAGAAGGCCAATGAAAAGTAAAAACTGATGGCTTTTGCAAAGCCAAGTGAGATGTAGAGAGGGGGGTAGATGAAACAATGAAACATGACAAAGAAGGAAAGCACAAAACCCAGCAGAGGTGTAGAGGAACCAGAGCCATCAGTGTAGAAGTATGTAAAGCTAAGGAAAAAGCTAGCCATACCTAAACTTCTCTGTAATGTCAGAGCTGTCTGTACATGTGGTTTTAGAACACAGACACAAGGGGAAGTCTGCACATGACGCATTTCCAGTTCTGGCTTGTTCAGTTAGATCAAAAACTTCCAGGGAAGTGCAGTCTGTTTTACATACATGAAAATGTACTTGGATATGATAAAATACCACAGCTGTCAGCCTAGACTGGAATCAGTTTGCATGGTAATGCTATGAGGGCTGCCATTTATTTTACTTTCTCTGCAATGAGAAACTTTCCTTGTTTCAGTAGGGAACATTGATCCTGGATGTCTGCATATGCATTTGAAAGGATCTTGCTCTTCAAGAGTGACTCATTTCTATTGGACGCCTTTAGCTCTCAGGGGAGAGAGCTCTACACAGAAGTGTAGTGGTTGTTGCTAATCTGTGTTTGCCAGTTTCTGCAGAGCCCAGAGGAACTGAAAATCTCCAAATACATAAATCTGGAGTAGAGATTTCCCCATGTTAATGTGAGAATCAGTTAAGTTCGGAAGAAAGAGAAGTTCCTTAAAAAGCAATAGAAGAGAATATACTCAGAACAATGTGGGCTTTGCAGGCTGTACTTTATAAAAATTACCAAAGGAATATTTGTATACTGCATTTTTTCCAGTGACAAAGCTAGCTGAAGAAGTTATCCTCCCAGCTACTCCCTCCTTTCTTTCTGCTCTGCTCTCACTACAGTGCTCTGTGCAATTTCATGTGCTAATGCCACTGTGATGGGACTGTGCTGGCCCTAGGCCATGTAAATGATGTAAATGTCTAAAGATAGTAACTTGGAAGCTATTTTTTTTAAACTCATGTCACTTTACCATCCATATGTGGTGCAGCATGATAAATAGCTACGTTAGCATGACTTTGGGGTGGGAAATGGCATTAAGCAGAAGGTATAAAAATTTAAATGTAGGAGAAAGTGGAAGCTTCTTGGTTGCTGCTAGAGAAAACAAGTGTGCAGAACACACCAAAAACAGTCTGAGGGCCAGGCCCAAGCTATCTATCTCCCTGAGGCACCCATGTACCTTGTAACAAGGATGTTGTTATAGTATGGTCTCTAAAGAGGGTCAGTTCGATATAATCTTGGGTGACCCAATCACTAAAAGCAAATGTGTGAGTGATCATCATCACAACAAAGCAATTGGGTATACCAGTAAATCCATTCTTCTGTTACTTACCAAAACATGGAGAAAAGGAATAAAAGAACACAAAAAATAGGATTCCACACAGCCTGCTTTTAAAATCACTCATTCACAGATGTATTTGAAACAGTTTTTCTAGCCCTTAGACTGCTGTGAGAACTGCTCCTTTTTTAGTGTGATAAATGGATTTTATCAAGGTGTTCAGTGTGAACTCCAAAGAGGAAAACACAATCACTGACCTGAAACTAATTTATATCACACTGGCTTTATAGTTTTTAATCTGTGCTCTGTAAACAAAGACAAAAACTAGAAATTTCTCACTTTCATGAAATATCTGCATTAGGTAAGCCGTACAGAAGTTCTTTTGAAAGATACACAGATAGATGTTGCACTTTTTACTATGTTTATGGCATATACTGTGATGCTCTTTTCATTACAAATCTTAAGAAAATCTTCCTCTTACCTGAAGGTAATGGCACGGCCTCAAAGAAGGTTTGATTTCCTGATGAACCAGAGGCTTATCTAAGTTCAGTGATGATTTGCGATAAGCTTCTTTAGCCTGGCTTACTGTAAGCGTTGACCAAGAACTCCTTTTCATATATTTACTATCAGGGGTCATTGGTAGCCCTTCACAAGCCGAACACTTCACATCATTGTTACTTTTGGAAGTCTTCAATGAGAGATCCCCAAAATGCCCCTGGAGTGCCTCAGGATAACAATGGGATATATGATCTGTGTGGTGCCTATTTACCACACTAGGGGTTCTGTAAGTGCTATCGCTGTCCAAATTATCATCAGAGCTCCACCAGCTACTCATTCCAGATTTATGCTTGCTTTCTGGTTTTCGCTCCTTGCTTTTACTCCTTTTGCTATGCTTGGAATGATGCCCATGATGATGATCGTCCCCTCGACTGTCTCCCTTTGTTCCATTAACATTGCCCTTGGATGATCCTTCCAGAGAATGAGATTTAGTAAAAAGTTTCTGGACAGAATGAACAAGATGACGTATTCTTCCCGGGCTCTCACTGCGTTGTTCCGCAGCTGTTGAGGTCCTCTGGTACTGTAAAGTGTGAAACCCATCCCGGTGAAGAGGAAGTTGTTTCTCAAACTGGTCCAAAAGATTTGCAGGAATACGGTTAATCTTAGGGTTACCGTGAGACATGGTGCAGTCGTCTCTTGAGTCGTAATGTGAGCTGTAGTGCATCCTGGGGAAAGTGCTACTTGACATGTGATCGCCCATTACCATGGGCATCATCATGCACTCAGAATGAATGGAGCTGCGTGGCGAGCAACGATGGTGATCCAGCGGGCAACTCTCCGTGGGGCTGAGAAGATACGACTGCCTTGGCTCCTGCCCATGGTGGATATGGTCGTGGGTGTGTTCACAATCTTCAGGGGATGCTAAGCCACAGGTATGAGCTGAACATAACTGTGGTTGATTGCGACTACCAGATAATCCTTTCATATTCCTCGGAGCAGGAGAGTATCTTTCTTCATTGAAGTGCTGAGAAGGTGACCATGAGTACTGCTGGTCTGTCATGAGAACATATAAAACCTATGTTATGTGTCTGATTAAAAGATTAACTTCAAAAATCCAAGTATATTGAAAGACTAAACATTTTTTCTTTATGAGAGTGATGGAAAGTCTCACCACTCCTGAAATTTCATTCACCATTTCAAAACTTTTTAAAATTGTTCATTACGAGCACATTATGGGGTCAATGAAGCCTCTTTCCTGTTTGCAAAATTGTCTGTGGCAGTTCTAAATGTTATGAAGTTATTAATTGTGTAAATTTACTCAAGTTAAATGGATACATTCAGGTATTTAATTTATTATTTGATATCTATAAATCATATGTCAAGCTTTGTGGCTAGACATTTAAGTTACATGGGTCCAGTTTATATTTCGTTGGTTTCACAGCTGGATATCTTAATTGTATTCTTTCTCCATGGAACCATTTTTGCATTATAAATTAAACTACATTTTCTCAAATAAAGCTCATCTTCATGATCATAACTTCATTCTTCATAAATATAAATAATAAACAGCAAAGAAAAAAGGACTATGAACAAGCTGAAATGAAGCTACAGTTTATATCACTAAACAGTTTATGAGTAAGCATTTCATACTGTTTGAACATCAATTATCCTTAGTCCAGAAGTATTATTGCTATTCCCATACATTTAGAGTATTCTCTATTAGGCAGTTTTCTCCTTTTTATTACCGAACTACAAAATATTTACTTAATGACTTTAGGTTATCCCTGATAAAACAAATATCTTTTGATACAAGCTATGAGTTTTTATGTACTTGATTATTTGTTCCTATGAATCATGTGCTCCAAGTTGTGTTTATTATACAAGCATGATTGCTAAATAAGAGTAGCTTGTAAGCAAAGATTTTGATACTTAAGCCTTTGATTTTTTCTCTTATGCAATTTCTTGCAGCTGTCAAATGCTACAAGCAGAAAATTTAAAAAGCCCAGAAATACTTCAATTTGATGTTCTCATTCACTTTCCTTCTTCAATTTCAACTTATTTAAGAAACATTTCAAAAGCAGACAAAGATATAGGATGCAAGATAATCCCTTAGAGGATCAGAGAGATGCGTAAGTGTTTACACAACGCACTTAGCACAGCCTTTCTGCAAATTTACTCTAAGAATCTAAATAATCTCACACACAGGTGCTTGATACAAGGAAGTTGAAGGCCTCAATCAGAATCAAAGCCAGAGGATACCTATTATCTGGACATCGAAAACCAGCCTGTAGAGATAACACAGCAGATGAAAGCACTTTGAGAGGTTTCCAAACATATGATAAAGCTCTCCTAAATCATATTCCCACTGCTGGTGAAAACTCAGTGCCTGGATATGTTCATGAAACAGATCAATACCCATACCCTCTAATTTTACTCAGTATGTGTTATATCATGATACCCGCAGTACAGAAGGCCATTTGTCGGCAAGTTTTTAGCACAAGAAATCTCATAACCTAAATGATCTATATTTTCTCTCATGGGAGATGCTTTGATAATTTCATTACATCCTAATTTCAACAGAGCTCCAGATAATGGTTTAAAATGAATGCAGCATTAAACTAATAAACAGTAAAGCATTCTTCAGTCTAGGCACAATCCCGTCACTCTGAAGTCAAAGATGGAGTTTAAGGGTCCAAATGTCACCTCCAGACTTTATCAGGGCATGAAAGTGACAGGTGTGTGCATATATCCTTTTCTGCTTCTATTTTGTTTTCATCTCAGTTTCTTTTATCTAATTCTTGGTTATTATTACATTAAAAATAAAAACTTATTACTACTGATTAGTCAGTTTGTTGTACTATTTAGGTTATAATACCTGCATAAATGTAATTACAAAAAAGGTAATATAACGGTTTCTCTGAAATGGCATAATTTTGATTATATATAGACAACGTAGTAAATTATAACAGTGCACTGGGATTCAGTTACAAAAATCTTGTAATTAGTGGTACCTAACCCAGGATATTTTAAACACTATCAGGGGAATAATAATGGATTATGTGTCGAACTTACTTAGTACTTCCCATAAAGGGTTCCCAAAGCACCTGACAGAGATTACTGCATTAGTTTTTACAATCCCATGAGATTAGACAGACGGAAGAAATTGTTTACAGTGAGGGCAGTAAAACACTGGAAGAGGTTGATCTAGTTAGAGATGTCCCTGCCCATTACAGGGAGGTCGGACTAGATGACCTTTAAAGGTCCCTTCCAATCCAAACTATTCTATGTGGAAGTTACTGTTCTGCTTTTACAGAAAATGAAATTGGAATACAGGCAACATTTTCCAAAGTGCTTATGGATTTTCTGATCTTCATGTTCACAGAGGTATGAGCCAGAGGGAGGTGGAAGGAAGCTCTTATGTCAAACTGACAGCACGATGAGAGTCAACCCCAAGCCTTTTTATCACAATCTTGCACATCTGTGAATGCAGATAACTTGCACTACACCTCAGTGATACATTTAGACAAAAAAAGGAAGGGCATGGCAGAGATCCAGAATGAAAGAAAGAGACTAAGGGCTCATTGAAATGAGTTCCCTGGCACAATGAATTCTTTAGACCTCACACAGCATCAAACATAGCCCAGAAGGCTTTAAACCTTTTCTTCCTGTTACATCCCTAGGAATATGAAACACCATGATTTGATTGCATTGCAATGCATAATCTAGCAACAGCTTTTCCATCCCTCATGACTCCTTGTGACTCCAGCTCAGTGCAACCATAGAAAAATACAATTTTCTGTATGTTGCTTTCACAACCACATAGCATTTTATGCGCTTCATGGAATGTCCGAATTCTTTTTGATTGAAACTAGTAGCTAGAAACTGCTATAGGCATTTAATAAGTTTATTCAAAACAATTAAAACATTAATTAAAAAGGTGACATTTATAAAAAGTAATTGTCCCTTCTTAAAGCTGTCATAGAGAGTAACTAAGAGTAGATAAAGTCCTTAAGTAACTTAAATGTGTATCATCTAAATTTATCACTCCAATTAGATTTGAAGCCTGCTTAGGACATCAAACCTGCTTACGGTCCTAGGCACTACAACTTTTTCTTATAAACCTTTTGAAAATCTTCAAAAACTGAATTATAATATATAATTTGTGGTTTTCACTATTTAGTCAACTTTGCTCTGGAGGCCTGTTTCAGGGCTCAAAAAAACAGCTGAGCTGCTGCTGAATGAAGTACTGTGTGGTATCAGACCAGTGTCATTGCCCATGTGTTAGCTTTTAGCCAGCCAGAAGTGCAAAGAAAAATGTGTTGGCTTAAAATTCAATTAAGCTAACATGTTTTTCTAGCATTTGCAAAGGGCTAGAAGTGTGTAAATGGTCAATGTCCACAGCTCAGGTGATTCATAAAATTTCATCAAGCTTCAGCAAAACTATTTTTTTTTCAATCCTTTTAAAAGAAATATAACATTTTAGTACAGCAAAGTAGTTCCAGATTTATTCAGAAATGACAGATTTGCTTGAAATTTTAGTCTATATTTTTGAAGATTTTTTTTTTTTTGCAGCAACAGCTCCTCTGTTTGCTATGGGAAATAATTCTAAAAAATAAAAGTAAGTACCATCATCAGAACCAAAGAACAAAGGGAAACATAAGAACAAATAAACATAAACAAAAACAGACACAGAGATAAAGGAATAGGGGCAGAGAAAAATATATTATATGTGAGCATAGGAATGGCTTTTTTTAGGTCTCATCAGAGCAAAATGAAATCTTTCAACTGACTTCAATGGATAGTCTGATAATAGCTAAGGACTGGGAGCAGGGGGCGGACCTAGAACAAGGCACAAGCTGTTATGTCAGAGAATCCAGTAATTCCAAAACCTTGAAAATCCCTCAAAGCTCTTCTTTTTCAGAGACAACTCTACAGATATAAGTCACCCTTTAACCTCAACAGATGGAAGGATTTCTGTGTCCCTTCCTATCTATCTTAACTCTTTCCTTGTTATGCCATGCCCTGGCCTGGTTTTTTTCCCCCGTTTTCAGTTCTGGACTTTCTGATGCTAAAAGAGTTGCTGTCTTGCTCCAAGCTGAAGTTGGTTTGCCTATCCTTAGGGTCTGGTCACAATTTTTAGAGCATTCAAGGTCCTTTCTTGAGCTAGTCAGTATCAAGAAAAGAAAGACGTTCAAGGACCAAGAATAAAGTTTGAAATAATGAGTTAGAATTACTATGAATGTTCTAGGGCAAAAATGCCAAAAATCTCCAAGTAATGGGAAATTAGAGATGTGCATTCCTAGAGTTCCTGGAACATTGCTCTTGGCTAAAGAGCAATGAATATAAAGCCACTGAAACTTTTCTGATATTCAAAAGAAGTGCGTATCTCTACAAATCTTTTTATGTGTTGTATATTAAGAACCAGCTTTCAGAGCACAATAATGGCTTCTGGAACTAATAAATGATGCCTGATTCCCCCTCCCCCCCCTTTTTTTTTTTTAAATTTATTTAATTTTTTACAAAGCACTTCTCTTTCTATTGAGAAATTAATTTAAATTGCTTTAACCTTATAAGCCCCTTGGTAAACGGCTTTCCCATCTGAAACATCTGTGCTGTTTTCACTGGGGAAGAAACAGCTCTTTTGCATAGTGTAACCAGAAAAATGCATTGCTGAAAAGAGATACATAATCTATCTTTCAAAAAGAGCTGCTAGACAAAACCAGACTGCTGCATGTTGCTGTTTCACACGGTTTTATCAGTGCATTATGAAAAACATATACTCACAGTCTCACCTAAAAATAATAAAATCCTGAAATACTGGAAAAAATGGGTACATTAATCAAATAAGTAGATACTAAATATGAAAATGGATAATTAAAGTGTTTTAACTGGAAAATTGTTTGTCCAAGGTCTTCATTAAGTAGTCTTAAATGAACACTGTTTCCTCATTAACTGATTATATTATTTTTCTCTGTTTTATCCTAACCTTGAAAATAAATATTTATAGGGATTGAGAGGAGTGGTAATCTGCCAAATGCAAGGAAGAAATTCTG